ACGCCAAGGGCACCAATAACCTACTTGGTGGGCCAGGGAGTTGCGTGTCAGAGGGATGCGCAGTTTGGGCCCACAAGAGAGTTGTTAGGGTCGATTCGCTATACCGCTGTAAGGTTACCATGTGGCGGGGTGTGCCATGTGGCGGAATCTCACTGGGCGGGTTGTTACACAACTGAATGTACTAAAACTATTGTTGTATAAATTATATGAATTATATGAATTATATTAATTATATAAATTACCTTATTGTCAGTTCCTTTTTTTATAGTTGTACTTTTGATCATTTAATTAAATTACATTTACTATACTTTCACATCAAAAAATTTGTTAAAATACTATATTTTTTTGTTTCACATAAAATATCTAAAAATATGAAATAGTGACAAATTTTTCATGTAGTTGTACTCAAGCATGTAATTGTACAGACATAAACATAGTTGTACCTTTGTAGTTTAAGCTTATTATCAATTCATCTTTCATAGTTGTGCACTTTTTCTTTTGATATTATGTAATTAAAGTACATTTACTATACTTTCACATTATAAACTTTGTTAAAACATTTTATTTGTTTGCTTCACATAGTAATATGGTGACTATATACAAAGTAATCATAAAAGTATATGATAGTTATAGTACAAGTATGATAAGAAGATAACTACCAATAAAAATTTAAATAATTTAGATCTCTATAGCATTAATATGATTTTTTGTAGTTACTAATAATGAAATGAATACCAAGCAACATTGTTTTGTTTGTATTTTGTTTTAGAAAACGATGATTTCCTACGGGCACTAGCGTGAAATCATTCTCAGGCTCTCGTTGTTTACTCATACCTCCTCCTGACTTAGAAAGACTCTGCAGTTATCATCACATTATCAAACATTAGAACATTTAAGGCAGATTCAAGGAGCTAAAACATTAGAACATTTGCCATTTTTTTTCTTTGTCTTCTAAAATTATTATTTTGTGAGGAAACGAAAATTGTCACTGAATAAAACAAAAAGAAATTTAGTGAAAAACATTTTGTAAGAAACTAGATTTAGGTGCTGTTCGTTTTGTAAACTAGACGCATTATCTGGACGCAGATGCATGTTGATGTTCGTTTAATGGTAATTAACAACATGAACTGTTTTTTGTATCTGGAAGCGTTTCTAAAACTCATTCACAAAAATCTAAATTTCTGGATGAGATTTTTTGAAGAGTCGGGCTACAGTAAACTCATCCCAAACATTTAAAAGTCGAAAATACCCCTTATTAATTACAAAACACAAAACCTATTCTTCGCCGTCTCTTCTTCGCTTCTTCTCCTCTCTTTGCATCGTCTCTTCCCCTCTTCACTTCTCTGCTCATCTCAAACTCATCATGATTCCAAAATTCACAATCTCATCTTGATTTCTCCTTCAGTCATCTATGGAGATTCTTCTAAGCTTAGATCGATCCTCTTTTGAATCTATCCCGGTGGTAAGTGTTTTTGTTTTTTCCTCTCTTTACTTTATGATGTGTGATGCTTTCTCATTGTTTCCTTTGGATCTGCTGCTTAATTTTATACTGTGTATGTGCTTAATTTTTAAAAACTCTCATCTGGGTTTGTGGAAAGTTTGTAGCTTAGGTTACTCTCATCTGGGGTTTGTGGAAAGTTTGTAGCTTAGGTTAATTTCAACATGAAATTCATATACGCTTTTGTGGGAGTTCCCGGTAGAGCTCATGACACAAAGGTGTTGACACATTGTGCTACTCATGAACCTTCCTTTCCTCATCCACCAAACGGAAAATACTATCTAGTTGATTCAGGTACCAACTAGAACCGGTTATCTAGGTCCTCACCGTAGAATTAGGTATCATCTTGATCTATTTGCGAGGGGAGGTCCACCAACTAACACTAGAGAAATGTTTGACCGTAGACATGCGAGTTTGCGTTCGTTGATAGAGAGAACATTTGGTGTATGGAAAGCGAAGTGGAGGATCTTAGATAGAAAAAATCCTAAGTAAGAGCTGAAAAAGTGGATTAAAATTGTGACAGCAACTATGGCTCTTCACAATTTTATTCGAGATTCACATCATGAAGACCGTGATTTTGCTCACTGGGAGGCGGTAGATGGTTATGAGGATCATGGTGACCAAGCTGTAGAACATGAAGCAGAAGGTAATATTGAACATACTCCATATGTTCCAGCGGGTGATAGAGCAATGGAGACTCTACGTGATATTATAACTGAAAAGATAGCGAGAGGACGTCAACTTCCATATTAGGATCACAACAGGTTAAAAAATGTCTTTTGTATAATTACAAAAATATATTTTTTTACGTAATGGGCTATTAATTCACTTGTATTCTAAGCTATCTTTGTTTATTTTCTGCAAATATTTCACTTTCATCTATCGTGGAAGAGCAAAAATTGGAGCATGATTTTGTTTGATGAAGATTAATGTTTGTTTTTTCATTATATGTTGAGGTTTGAGGATTAATAGAGTATTTTAAATATCAAAATATTTTTTGTTGTGTATTTTAAAATTATAAAAAGATGATTTTATTTTTAAATATTATTTAGATGCTTAATTATATTTAATATCATAATTTATTTAATTATAAGTGTAATTAAAACTATTAAAATAGCTTCAACACAAAATAAAGGGTTTTTGGTCATTTTACATATTATGTATCTAGATACAAGTATCAAAATATACCAAACAAACATAAGTGCATCAAAATGCAATTTCTAGACGCATGAACCAAAAAAGGAAACGAATTTTATCCAGATAATGCGTCCAAATACTGCGTCTAGATGCGGTATCCAGATAACGCGTCTTGTTCACCAAACGAACAGGGCCCAATTTAGGAGAAACCCAGAATCAAGATCGATCAAAAGGTCTGAACTTTGCAGCGAAGTTAGCTTTTTTTGGTTTCTTCACCGACAAAAGCGAGTCGGAGAAATCAATCACATTGCCATTATTATTTTAGCTTATTTTTGGTTTCTTTGTCTTCTAAAATTATTATTTTGTGAGGAAACCAAAATTGTCACTGAATAAAACAAAAAGAAATTTAGTGAAAAACATTTTAGTAAGAAACTAGAGATATACAAAAATATTTGTGAATTACTAAAATATTGGTTTTAGATAACATGTATATGACATGGTATAGATCTTTTTCTAAAATTAGTAAATTTAGGCAACACAAAATTAGAGCAAGTGAAACGATGTCGTGTAAATACTAATCCATTCGACGTCGTTTAGCGTGTTTCCATTTTAAAGTAACCTAGGTTAAAACTTTGGTTCTATAAAAGGATCCACTTCCCAGTTTTTTATGTGTTTATCATATCCGCCACTCTATATTTTATTTTTTCTTACAAACATAGCGAAAACAAATTCTTAAGAAGTTTGGGATGAACGCATCAATGAAGAAACCACGAATCCGATTTAGTTCTTTCAAATCCTTAAAAAGTTTGGGATTAACGCATTAACGAAGAAACCACGAATCCGATTCGATTCTTTTGCAGAAGGTATGTGCTGATAAGACATAGTTTAAGATCTTTTACATTCAAACAATTTAATTGATTTTTTAAATTATTTGCATAACTTTTTGTTTGTTTTTTTAATTACTGAATACTCTTTGATTATCTTATTATTAGGTTGATAGCTTGATGTTTATGTTTTGACTCATGAATTTTCAATGAAAAGATAAAAATAATATATCAAGGTTAAATATAAAGCATCTTCCCTTGCAAAAATTGGGTGGAGAATTCTCAATAACCCCTCCTCCTTATTAGCTACGATCCTTCTGGGCAAATACTGCCATTCAATCCCTTTTCTCCACTGTCCTCCCCCTGCTTTTGCTTCTCATGGCTGGAGAGGGATCCTCATTGGAGGTGATCTTCTTAAACATGGTTTAGGATGGTCCATTGGAGATGGCAGCTCAATGAAAGTTTGGCAGGATCCATGGCTCTCCCTATCTCAGCCATTGAGACCAATTGGTCCTCCGGTTCAAGATCAGGTTTCTCTTCGGGTTATGGATCTCATCTCCCCCCCCCCCCGGACTAAGGAGTGGGATCTCGAGGCTATTCGCAGCCACTTACCTTAGTATGAGGATATCATTCGCGCCATTCCTACCAGCTATTATAACAGTCATGATTCACTAATCTGGCTTCCTGAAGTTTCAGACCTCTATTCCACAAAAACAGGCTATCTACTAGCTAGAAACATCCCCACTCCAACACCAACCTCTTCGCTGGCTCCTCTGGACCTGGAACTCTCCTTTGGTAATTTCCAAACATTCCATTCACTGCTGGAAAGCTCTATCTCTTTCTATCATGTCCCTTTGCGGAACCTGGAACTCTCCTCTGGTAATTTCCAAACCTTCCATTCACTGCTGACCACGACTATCCGGGCCCTTGCCCTTCCTCCTATAGGTGTAGCATCCACTACCTTAGCTCCGATTATGTGGAACCTATGGAAATCTCGTAACACCTTCCTCTTTGAGGCTCATCTCTTTTCTGCGAAGGACAACATCCTTAAAGCGGTTAGAGATGCTCGAGAATGGAAAGCAGCCCAGCTAGATATCCTACCTCCCCCCTCCAAGGAATATTCAGCCTACTCGACCTAGAGATGATGCCGCATTCACTTGCTTGATGCCGCATGGTACGCAACCTCGAGAGTATGTGGTAAGGGCTGGATTATGTATGATCCCTCTGGTACGGAGCAGCTACGTTTATCCAGATCCAAACGGTTTGTCTCATCAGCCCTCACAGCAGAAGCCCTTGCACTACGAAGTGCTCTGTCGTCCCTAACGACATGCCCATCTCTCAGCCCTACAAGCGAGGTGGAGGTTTACTCGGATTCTCTTGTCCTCATCTCCTCCCTCAAATCAAAAGCAAGATCCAAAGAGCTCAAAGCTATCTTACATGCCATCACTTCCTTAGGTGAATCGTTCTTCTCAGTCGCTTTCAATTTTGTTCCTTGTTTGAACAATCTTGTAGCCGACTTTATTGCTAAGTCTGCACTTTTGGCAGCAAACTCTTCCTCCTCTCTAGGAGCGTAACCATTTTCTTTGTTTAAAGTTAGTTCCAATTTGATCCAAAAAAAAAAAAAAGCATCTTCCAAAAAAAAAAACTCATTTAGACAAATAATTATTTCATCTTTAGTAGTGGAAAATTTATTTGAGATCTAAGACAATCTGATCCAAATGAGAATACATATGAAACTTTCATATCTGGATCTAAATGTTTTGACTTTTGAGAACCAGGATATTCAAATCCGACTTGTATCTACTTCTAATTTAATTTTCTTAATATATATATATATATATACACATACGTATGATAAATATAATTTATAAATATATTTCCTCGATAATATATATATATATATATATATATATATATATATATATATTACTTAAATGGATGAATATTAAAATATATATAAAAAATGTTTCTTTTAAGTTAAATTCAGTAGGATTACCATCAAATTAACTCCTTACAATGGATATGATATAATAATTATTCTTCATCATTAACATTTTCTTCATTTTTCGCTCGCGTATGGAAATTTCTATTTCCATGTAGCAGACTCAGTCATGAAATAGTTAGAAACTAACTTGAAATCTTTCTCTAGAGTTTGGAAGCTCGCTTTCTAAATCCTATTCATCTTTGAAGATCCAAATATCAAAGTGTAAATTACTTGCGATCGAGTAGGAGATATCATATAACGCTCCAACTTCTAAAGCAGAAGGTGCAATGCAGTTCATAATCACATACAATCCGTGTGGCTCCTCAAAATATTGGACCGCAACCAATGAGCACATGGCTTTCTCTTCTGGTTATATTAAATTGTAGAATAAACGCCCTTCTACGATTTAATATAACTAGAAGAGCAAGCTATATGTCCATTTGTTGTAGTTTCATATTTCGAGGAGCGACATGCATTGTATTTGATTGTGAATTGTATTAGCAATTTGCTTCAGTATTTGGAGAGGCCTCTTATGATACCTCATATTCAATCGTACGTAAAACTATCTCGTTTCGATCGTCGGAGATGAATAGGATTCACTTTTTTTTTGTGAACCAAATGAATAGGATTCATAAATTGAACTTCTAAACACTAGGGAAGGACTTCATGTTGTGTTACTTTCGATTGAGTATGAGATATCATAGATTTCTTCAACTTCTGGAGCAGAAGGTCCAATACAATTCATAATCAAATACAATCCTTGTTGCTCCTCGAAAATATTGGACTACAACAAATGAGCATATGGTTTTCTCTTCTAGTTATATTAAATATTGAATAAACACCGTTCAACGATTTAATATAACCAGTGGAGCAAATTATATGCCCCTTTGTTGTAGTCCAATACTTTGAGGAGCCATATGCATTGTATTTGACTGTGAATTATATTTGAATTTTGCGTCAATAGTTAAAGAGGTCCCTATGATCTCTCATATTCGATCGTAGGTAACACTATGTCGTTTCAATCGTCGAAGTTGAATATGATTCATAAAGTGAGCTTCTGAACTCCAGAGGCAGACCTCATGTTGTGTTACTGGCGATCGAGTAGGAAATACCATAGATCTCTCAACCTTCTAGAGCTTAAGGTGAAACGCAGTTCATAATCAGATACAATCCTTCTAGCTCCTCAAAATATTGGACCGCAACCAATTTGTGGAATAAACACCCTTCTACGATTTAGTATAACTATTAGAGCAAGCTACATGTTCATTTGTTGCAGTCCTATATTTCGAGGAGTCACATGAATTGTGTTTGACTGGGAATTGTATTTGCATTCTGCTTCAGTAGTTGGAGAGGTTTCCTATGATTTCATATATTCGAACGTAGGTAGCACTGTGTCGCTTTGATTGTCGGAGATGAAGATAATTCATAAACTAAACCAAGAATGTTTCGTTGAAATAAAAAATTCTCCCCCACCCATCAATTCCATGGCCCATTTACTTGGGACGGTTCTTAATTGTCGTGTTGTTTCTGCAAGCTTTCGGGCTAGAGGTGTCAAGCGGGCCACTAGCCCGCATGCTTGGCCCAAGTAGTACCATGGCGAGGTGGGCATGAACATACATTTCTTAGGCCCGTTAAAAACCAGGTCTAGCGGACAAGCCTAAACGGGTTGCAGATTTTAGCAGATTATGTCTGCGGATTGGTGGGCCAGCCGGCATGCTTCAAAAATTTAACAAAAATTATATTATAGATAAATAAATATATTTCTATAATTATAAAATAATTCATATGTGAAAGATGTAATAAATAAAGAACTTTAATGTTTAAAAATAAAATAAAAATATAAATATAGTGATTTAAAAGTTACTCTAAAATTTTAAATTAATAATTTAATTTATTTAGATTAAAATTATTATTTTTATTTAATTTAAAAATATTAATTATAGGCCTGCGAATCCACCGTTAACCCAGCCCTAGCGGGCTGGCCCGTTGCGGTGTGTTATTTTTACTACAATTCTCTATTAATCCTTTTAATATATAATAACTAGTCGGTTGCCCGCGCTACGCGCGGGAATTTATTATGTTGTTTATGAATAATTGGTTCATATTTTATTTCGTACTTACTTTTTTCACTATACCATACTTTACTTTTTTTAAACTTAAATCGTGTTTGTATAGAAAAACTATTGAGTTTTAGCTTCATTGGTCGTTGAGAAATTAATTGTGTATAGTATAAGTCGAAGTGTGGGCGTAAATGGAAGTGCGGTTGAGAATCATTGAGAAACGTGTGCTATTAGGGTTTTTACCAAATATAGATCTAGATGTTAATATTTTGGGCCCTTTTATATGTTAGCATGAAATTTGAACATGATTTTTGGGTTTAGGGCGGATTGTTGTATTTTTAATTGTTTACATTATATCTTTATATATTGTCATAATTTATTATTTTTTGTTTTACGTTTTCCTTTTTTGGATTTGTCGTACTTTATATCTCGTAATGATCATTTATATACTATTATATATATTTTTTCTCATTTTATGTTTTTATATATTTTTTGTTTTTTCATATGGAACAATTTTTAAATTTAACATATTAGTATAGTTTACTTTATATTTAGTTTATTTCATTTAATAATTTTTAATTTTAATTTTCAATTTTATGAAATATAGTTAATTTTTTATTTTGTTTATTAGTTTAACATATGTGTTGTATTGGAAACAAATAGTTAAATTCATATTGGAAACTTTTAAAGAAATATTATTTTTATTTTTACCTTTTTATATGTTTATAAAAAATGAGAATTCATGTTTCGGTCCGACCTATCTCATTTATGTTAGAAAAAATTTTGAGACATAAATTAGATAGATTTATATTCTCAAAATTTTTTACTTTTTGTTCTATTCTCGTTAAATCCCATTATATTTAGGTTTATATTGTGTAAATAAATCATATATATATATTAAACATTCACTAAAAACTATAATCTATTATTTATATATTTGTTAGTATAATCGATAATTAGTAAGTTTTTTTAACTTTTAATCAATTATCTTTTTTAGTTTTATAATGACTTTTCATATTCATTTTTGAAAAACTTATTTACATAGGTTTAAATATTAAAATTAAATGATAAAATGGTATAACTAATTTTAAAAATTAAATAATAAAATGAGGTGGATGATGATGTGGCTTAAGGAGAAGAGAGAAAAAGTTAACTTTATATATATATAGATAACAATGGCAGAGAAGAGATACTTTAACGTACTCGTGATTCTCTGCACACACACTTGAAGTGTGTAATTTAATACAAGTTATTTAAATTAATCCTAGGGTTTTTGAATAGACGAGAATAGGGTAACTATAACCGTCGTGAGTTTGGCTAGCTTCGGTGGAGACTGGAGTAGAATCGGAGAAGCCGCCACTGAACATGAAAGTTTCACATCAAAAATTTGTTAAAATACTATATTTGTTTGTTTCACATAAAATATTTAAAATATGAAATATTGACAATTTTTTCATGTAGTTGTACTCAAGCATGTAGTTGTAGTTTAAGCTTATTATCAATAGTACCTTATTATCAAGGAAAAACGATAGCAGACTACACCAAATATAGAATAATGCATGGTCACACATGTCAAGTATTATATTGTACACTCAGTTATACGAACTAGATGTATTGCATGGTCACATGCATCAACTACACAACGTCATGTAGTCAACATCATAGATATAAAATTCTGGTACACCGGTCACTTGATTGTAAAAGTGCATCGATTTTCAATTCCAATATTTCTTCAAATAGTCAAACATCTCTCTAATCTGCTTTCTCTTAAGGTTTTGGAAAGCTTCTCTAATTTGTGAAAACTTTGATGTTTGTGTTTTCTGGTTTGTTTCTTGTTGCTTGTGATATATGGTGAAACAAAGATTTTAGTATAACTGGACTTACGAAGTACAACTAGATTTATACAAGCGGTACAAATGGATATATTTAGTACAACTGGATGTACTAAAACTATTGTTGTATAAATTAAATTAAGTTATATAAAAAAGAACTCATAGAAAATAAATCACGTGTTAATAAAAGTATTCAAAGATATGAAATATTGATTCATGTAGTTGTACTCAAACATGTAATTGTACATGGATAAAAATAGTTGTACTTTTGTAGTTTAAGCTTATTATCAATAGTACTTTATTATCAGTTCATTTTTTATAGTTGTACTTTTGATGTTATTTAATTAAATTAAATTACTATACTTTCACATCAAAAATTTGTTGAAATACTATATTTGTTTGTTTCACATAAAATATCTAAAATATGAAATAGTGACAATTTTATCATGTAGTTGTACTCAAGCATGTAATTGTACAGACATAAACATAGTTGTACCTTTGTAGTTTAAGCTTATTATCAATTCATCTTTCATAGTTGTGCACTTGTGTTTTTGATATTATGTAATTTTTCACATTATAAACTTTGTTAAAACACTTTATTTGTTTGTTTCACATAGTAATATGGTGACTATATACAAAGTAATCATAAAAGTATATGATAGTTATAGTACAAGTATGATAAGAAGATAACTACCAATAAAAATTTAAATAATTTAGATCTCTATAGCATTAATATGATTTTTTGTAGTTACTAATAATGAAATGAATACCAAGCAACATTGTTTTGTTTGTATTTTGTTATAGAAAAACGATGATTTCCTACGGGCACTAGCTTGAAAAAATGGTAGGAAACAGCTGTTTCTTACAATATTCCTACAAAAAAATGATAGGAACCCGGTAGGAAATCATAGATGGTAAGATATTGGTAGGAAAATTTCCTACCAAAAACGCGCGAAAGGGTATTTTTGACCGTTTTGTAGGAAACGCTTTCCTTCTAATTTCCTACGAAATTATTCCTTCTACTTTCCTACAAGAATTCCTTCACCTTTCCTTCGATATTCCTTCAAACATATGTGGTAGGAAATACTAAATAATATTCTACTGCAACGATTTATTTCATTATTCACTTTTAAATCGATTACTAATTTTTCAAATTGAGAAAATAAATATTTAAGACGAAGATAATAACATAAACTTCTATATTAAAACATTCCAATTGTTGATACAAACCGAGTGGTAAACATCCAAATAATAAAAACAACCAAAATCATATAAATGTTCAAGTTTTTAAAAGATAAGATCTCATTACTCTTGTGTTTCATCGTCATCATCTTCAGGAACTGTTGGAGTCAAACTCGGATAATCCGTAGTCGTAGGTGGTCTCGGGTCCCTCGGATAAGCTGGTGGATGCAAATCAGGAAACCGTCTGAGGAGAAGCTTGTTGCACTCCATGAGAACTTGAATTGAGCGTCTTTCTCTTTTTCACGTGCCTTCAACGTTTGAATCTCTTCTCAGAGCTTAGGAATTTGGCGTGGAGTACCTGAGGAAGACGAGCATCCTTCATCCAAAAGAGTACCAAGTCCATAACGTCTTCCTCTCACCTTCGGAACAACCTGTGAAGTAAAACCAGAAATTAACATCGTTGTTGAATGTTTGTCAAATCAAAGCTTAAAAGGAGGAAGAGAACTCATACTTACTTTACGCATGACAGAATTAATCTCCTCTGGTGTAAGAGGGTTAGACTGAACCGAGTCATCTCCTTCGGTTTGGTGTTGTGATTGGAGAAGCTCTAACTCACTTGTAGCCTTGTCGATAATCTGTTTTGTCTTAAAGTCACTTATTGTGCGTGTCTTCTTATATAGGTGAGTTTGTTCCATGAAGTGAAGGACATTAGGCTCCTCTCCTAACAAAAACAAAACTACCTTAAAGCTAACACGTTTCAAGATATGTTTCTCCCCAAAACGATTTGTAGACATTTCTACATTCAATAAGAACATCATAATCATTCTCAGGCGCTCGTTGTTTACTCATACCTCCTCCTGACTTAGAAAGACTCTGCAGTTATCATAACATTATCAAACATTAGAACATTTAAGGCAGATTCAAGGAGCTAAAACATAAGAACATTTGCCAAAAAAAATTCTTTGTCTTCTAAAATTATTATTTTGTGAGAAAACGAAAATTGTCACTGAATAAAACAAAGAGAAATTTAGTGAATAACATTTAGTAAGAAACTAGATTTAGTGATATACAAAAATATTTGTGAATTACTAAAATATTGGTTTTAGATAACATGTATATGACATGGTATAGATCTTTTTCTAGAACTAGTTAATTTTGGCAACACAAAATTAGAGCATGCGAAACGATGTCGTGTAAATACTAATCCATTCGGCGTCGTTTAGCATGTTTCCATTTTAATGTAACCTAGGTCAAAACTTTGGTTCTATAAAAGGATCTAGTTCCCAGTCTTTTATGTGTTTATCATATCCGCCGCTCTATATTTTTTTTCTTAAACATAGCAAAAACAAATCCTTAAAAAGTTTGGGATGGACGCTTCAACGAAGAAACCACAAATCCGATTTAGTTCTTTTAAATTCTTAAAAAGTTCGGGATGAACGTATCAACGAAGAAACCACGAATCTCATTTGATTCTTTTGCAGAGGGTATGTGCTGATAAGACATAGTTTAATATCTTTTACATTCAAACAATTTAATTGATTTTTAAATTATTTGCATAACTTTTTGTTTGTTTTTAAAATTACTGAATACTCTTTGATTATCTTATTATTAGGTTGATAGCTTGATGTTTATGTTTTGATTCATGAATTTTTAATGAAAAGATAACAAAAAAACTAAATATAAAGCATCTTCCAAAAAAGAAACTCATTAGAAAAATAATTTGATATCATCTTTAGTGGTGGAAAATTTATTTGAGATTTAAGACAATCTTCTTAGAATGATTATATATGAAACTTCCGGATCTGGATCCAAATGTTTTGATTTTTGAGAAACATGACATTCATATCCGACTGGATATCTACTTCTAATTTCTTTTTCTTCTTAATATATATATAATATATATATACGTATGATAAATATAATTTATAATTATTGTGATATTTTTAATCATCACAATGATAAAAAAATTATATTTTAAATGATTATTAAATTATATAGAAAACTGATTAATTTTTTTAATTTTTCCTTTATTTTCTTTTTGTAAAAGAGGGACATATATATATATATTCAAAATTCATTCAGAATTTTCTATTTCTGTATGTTTTTCTATTTATTGGTAATGCTCTTATTGGTATATAACTTGGAATCTATAGAAACAACTTTTTGTACTTAAATAAACTAATATAAAAAATACAAAAAATAATATTCTTATCAGAAATGTAGATAATATATTAATGAAAAAATACAAAAAGGTAAAATTTAATTTGACTAGTATAATATATTAATATGATGGTATATTAATTAAGAAAAAAATATTTAGAAAAAGGAAAAAATCTAATCACTATTATGTGTGTTACATGAATGATATATAGATTTTGTATTATCTAAAGATTAGTTCTTAATTTATTATTTTACTATTCTATTATTGAAGTCAAACAAAACATTGATTTTCTTCATTTTAAATTTTTATTATTGGGAGATTTATCAAAATCGACCAAAAACTTAGTAAAATTATTAAGAAAGACCAAATCTTATAAAACTAAATAACTAAGTTTATAAGGCTGAAATGTCAAAAACAAATCCTTCTGAATTTAAATTATAAAAATTTATTTTTCTTAAATGGATATATTAAAATTTTAAAAAATAGAATAGTTTTTTTGTAAGTTAGATTCAGTAGGATTACCATCAAATGAACTACTTACAATGGATATGATATAATGATTATTCTTCGTCATTAACATCTTCTTCATCATTTTTTCCCTCACGTACGGGAATTTTCATTTTCTATGTAGCAGACTCATTCATGAAATAGTTAGAAACTAACTTGGAATCCTTCTCTAGAGGTTGAAAGCTCGCTTTCCAAATCCTATTCATCTTTGACGATCCAAATATTAAAGTGTTAATTACTTGCGATCGAGTAGGAGATATGATAGATCACTCCAACTTCTAAAGCAGAAGGTGCAATGCAGTTTATAATCTTATACAATCCGTGTTGCTCCTCTAAATATTGGGCCGCAACCAACGAGCACATAACTTTCTCTTCTAGGTATATTAAATTGTGGAATAAACACCCTTCTACGGTTTATATTAACTAGAAGAGCAAGCTATATGTCCATTTGTTGTAGTCCAATATTTCGAGGAGCCGCATGGATTTTGTAGGACTATGAATTGTATTAGCATTATGCTTTAGTAGTTGGAGAGGTATCTTATGATACCTAGGTAACACTATGTCGTTTCGATCGTCAGAGATGAATAGGATTCATAAAGTGAGCTTCTAAAATCCACAGAAGGACTTCATGTTGTGTTACCTGTAATCGAGTATGATATATCATAGATTTTTTCAACTTTTGAAGAAGAAGATCCAATACAATTCATAATCAAATACAATCCTTGTGGCTCCTCAAAATATTGGACCGCAACCAATGAGCATATAGCTTTCTCTTCTGTTTATATTAAATTGTGGAATAAATGCCATTCTACGATTTAATATAACTAGAGGAGCAAGCTATATGTCCATTTATTGTAGTCGAGTATTTCGAGGAGCAACATGAATTGTCTTTTGACTCGAAATTGTATTAGCATTCTGCTTCAGTAGTTGGAGAGGTCTCTTATGATATCTCATATTCGATCGTAGGTAATACTATGTCGTTTCAATCATCGGAGATGAATAGAATTCATAAAGTGAGCTTCTAAAATCCATAGAAGGATCTCATGTTGTGTTACTTGCGATCGAGTAGGAGATATCATAGAGATCTCTAAATTCTTGAGTCGAATGTGCAATGCAGTTCATAATCAAATACAACTTTTGTGGCTTCTCCAAATATTAGACCGCAACCAATGAGCATATTGCTTTCTCTTCTGGTTATATTAAATTTTGGAAAAAAAAACTAATAGGGCAAGATATATGTCCATTTGTTGCAGTCCAATATTTCGAGGAACCACAAGCATTATAATGACTATGAATTGTATTACGCATTATACTTCAGTAGTTAGTGAGGTCTCCTATGATATCTTATATTTGATCGTAAGTAACATTATCTCATTTCGATCGTTGGAGATGAATAGGATTCATAAATTTAGCCAATACTATTCCGTTGAGAATCAAAAATTCTCCCACACTTATCAAAGTCATAACTTGTTTTCTTGAGATGGTTCGTAACTATCGCGCTGCTTCCGCAGGACCACTCGTACTAGGGCTTGTATTGTTGTATCATGCTTCAGTGAGGAAAGGACGTGACTCAGGTTGACGAGTCTTTCTAGGGATAACTAATCAGTAATAAAGGAGGTCTTAGGTGGCGAATACAAACAAGCCAAATACTTCCCTCATAAACAGGACAAGAACCAAATAAGGTTTATGTAAATGTAAGCCATTCAAACTATATACACAAGTAAATAAAACCAAGATTTTAGTTAAAAGCGATCATTTCCACTTCTCATCTCAGACCAACAACATAAATGTGGGTTACTACAACTCAATATACATCAACAAATCTCTAGAGTTAAGCTTTGGACTGAAGAATATAACTCCGAGCACGAGCTGAGCAGAAGATACCCAACACTCCAAAATCAAAGCTAATAAACGCGCTTAAGCAGAATATCCAAATCGATATGGGTCCTTCTACCAATTCATTTTGATATATTTCCTCCTGTGATGCATCAATACTTGCAGGGTCACACTTGCTTCCAGGAGATTCTACACACAGTTCCGGATTCCCTGCCAACGCGCCTGGAAACTTCCCGAGCCCTTCTTTCTCGGTGATTATTCCAGAGAAACAGTTGTGAGATAGGTTCAGAAGTGTAAGTCCTGGAGGAGCTGAGATGTTTGCAGTGACTTGACCTGACAGAGAATTGTGTGAAAGATCTAAGGCCTTTAACTTTGGCAGCTTCTCTAGACGTGGAAGCTGACCTTCAAGGAAGTTGTAGGACAAGTTCAAGTACTCAATATTTTTCTGTCTGAACAAAGCTTCCGGGATCTCTCCGTGTAACAAATTATCAGAAAGATCAATCCCAACCATGGATAATAGATTGTAGCTGAAGCTTAGTTCGTCTTTGGCCACCACAGCTGCTGATATTTTGATCTCTACTTTTCCTGGTGGCTCTGCATATCCTTCTTTTCCAGTGGTCTGAAAATCTTTGAAGCGTGTGCTGTTTAAATTATCGTCCGGTATGAACCAGGAGAATCTGTTGCTGGAGTAGTCGATCATTTGGATTTTGTCGAACTTGAACAGCCAAGAAGGAAGGGTTCCACTGAATTTGTTCCGCGCAAGAGAGAGATACTTGAGATTGGACCATTTGGTAATGGCTTCATTCAGGTTACCTGAGAGGTTGTTGGAACTGATATCCACAATCTCAAGCGACTTCAGGCCAGCCAAAGTCAGCGGTATCTCACCCGAAATCTGATTATTGCTAATGTCAAGTATCTTCAGACTGTCCAAAGCATCAAGCTCAGGTTGTATTTCTCCAGAGAGATTGTTGTTACTAATCAACAGAGCAAGCAACTGAAAGCAACCAACAATGTTGAGAGGTATTGAGCCAGTTAATGCGTTGTGGGAAAGATCAATGACCTGGAGATACGTCAGATTCCCAATCCTAGCCGGGATATCTCCCGATAGAAAGTTGTGAGAGAGACGCAATGCTTGTAAACTTGTCAACTCAGTAATCCTCAACGGTATCTCACCAGAAAACCTATTGTGAGAGAGATCAAGAAGTACCAAACCCAATTTCTCAGTTGTTTCAGAGATTCTACTAGGAAGACGACCTGAAAACCCGTTGTGATTTAAATCCAACATCACAAGCTTCTCTGAAAACATAAGCCTTGGAGATATCTCGTAGTTAAAGCCATTAAAGGATAGATTCAAATGACTCAGCTCTACTAAAGAACCCAAACAAGAAGGTAACCCACCAACCAGAGAATTCTCAGCAAGATTCAGAACACTAAGAGACGGACGAGAGGCGTAGAAACAAGGCAGTGTACCCGAAAACCGATTTGAAGCAAGATTAAGAACCACCAGTGGCTGCTGAAAATCTCTAAGTGTACCAGTCAAGTTATTGCTTTCAAGATTCAAGAACTTAAGAGACTTCAAATACAGCAAGCTCTCAGGTAACTCTCCAAGAAACGAGCAGAAACTAAGATCAATTCTCTCAAGATTCATCGAGAAACCTCCAAACCAGTGAGGAATCACACCACCTAAATCTCTATTATCACTTAAAACAACTTCTCTAAGCTCCTTAAGACTCATGAATGTGTCAGGAACCGAACCAACAAATCTGTTCCGACTAAGATTAAGTGTCCTAAGATTACGCAACGAACCGAAGCAAGAAGGAACGTTTCCAGAGAAATTGTTCCGAGAAAGGTCCAAGCTTTGAAGAGAAGAGAGCTTACAAAGAGATGGGTGAAGCTCACCGGAGAGATTCAGACCAGATAAAGTGAGAGAGAGAACTTTTCCGGTCGGATTATGACAAGATACACCTGTCCAGTTAGAACACGATGAGCCGTACCATGTCGATAAGCTTCGATTTAGGTCGTGAATTGAAACCCTAAATATCAATAAAGATGCTTTGTCTTGTTGGTCGATGTCGGGAAGGTGGGATTGAGCTAGAAGCATCGATGGAGAGGAGACGAAGAAGAGGAAGAAGAGAATGAAATCTGCAATCTTTGTCTTGTTCATAGCTCACACATGAGAAGATGAAGTGGCAATTGTAGTAAATTGAGAACCTTTCAGGGGTGAAATTGCAGGGACGTTTCTTCTCTTTGCAGGTGAAGAGTGAAGCAACGCGACCAGGTAGTGGAAGTGTGAGTGGGATATAAAGACAGTGAGAACAACATTCTTATGCGAATTGAGAAGTGAGCATTTCGGTTTTAAGTTTGGATTCGGTTTCTTCAATTTGGTTTACATAAAATTATTTTGGTTTGCGTTTGAGTTGGTTAATGTTTGGTTCAGTATGGTTTGATTTCGCTTTCAATCGATTCAATTTTTATTTGGTTCAACTAAAATCAAGAGAAATCTCTCTTGGATAGCATATTTGAAGTTATTTTTCCAAAAAATCACTATTTTTCTTTCCAAAAATATCATAAAAATTTATTTTTCCGAAAATACCATAAACATAAAAATTTGATTTTTGAAGGTGTAATTTTTTTTTTTAATGTTTGGGTTAACTATTTACATTTAGGGTATAGTTTTTAAGGATAGGGTTTAGTGTTTAGGATTTAGAAACTAGTTTTGAATGTTAAAATGTTAGTTTGATTTTTTTTGGTATTTTTGGAAAAATGCATTTTAATGATATTTTTGAAAAATTAAAACTTAAAATGGTATTTTTGGGAAAAATACTCATTTTAGTGGTATTCAAGAGAATTACCCTAAAATCAATTATGTAACCAAATTTATAATGAATTGATAATATAAATAAAGTAAGTGAAAGTTGTAATAAGTTTGACAAATTAAGTATTTTTAATTTATTATGATTTGAGTATGTTTTGTCTAATTAATTTGGATTGATTTTAATATTTTTTTCTTAAATATTTTTGGACTGATCTTGAGTTATTTTTATTCGGATTGAAAACACTAAACTCAATATACAGCATAACGATGAATGAATAAGGAGATAAAAGGTGATTAACCATAACCATCACTTATAATAACATCCTTGGTGGTGTCTGAACTATCGTCGACATATACCTAGTGGTAACATAAACATTGTCGAACGCGCGTCGTTTTAGTATCAAAATTTTGGACAATACTTGGGTTTACCACTAGGGGTGAACCTCTCTTATTCACCCCCTTTTAATTATGCAATCAAAATACAACATATGTTATGTCATATTATATTTAAATAGTAAATCAAAATTAAATAAGAAAAAGAAAACAAACTATAACGACGCTGACCACTCTTTTAAAAACTCAAATCAAAATACAATTTTGTTCAATTACAAAATCTAAATTCTAATCACTCCAAACCGGATATGATTTCATTTAATGGTAAAATATAAATCATAACCCTTCTTGTATAAATCCAAAGCGATATATAATTTCCTTAATTACGAAATTGTATTTTGGTTTGGATTTATAAAAGAGTGGTTACAGTTTAAATTTTTATTTAATCAAAATTATAGTTTTGTTTGGGTTGACAAAATAGTGGTTGGGGTTTATATTTTGTAATTAAACGAAATTATATTTCGGTTTGGGTAGAGAAAATAGTGGTTAGGGTTTATATTTGTAATTAAAAAATTATATTTCGATTTGGGTTTATAAATGAGTGATTAAGGTTTGTTTTATTTTTCTGATTTTATTTTTGATTTATTTTTTAAATATGATATGAGATGGCATATTGTTTTATTTCAAAAACGCCGTTTAAAAACTAAATTTATTTTGTATAAAATCTGACTATATATTTTTTTTAAAAATAGTTTACAATTCTAAGCAGATTAAGGTTTTGAAATGAACATTATATTAAAAAAGGGAAAACTTCGTTACAAGATTTTCAACAGCTACAAGGGTTTATTACTTATGCATTTTATAAGATGTTTATAGTTGTTTTTCTGTAAAAATGACCTAGACTATGAGAAAAACAAACTCACAAAAAAAAAGGTTTATTATTATTATTTTCTCATAACAAATTTGGATAAATAATAATAATAAGAAGAAGAAGTTTACACATGAGACTCAACATGTAAACTTGTTGGTGGAGTGTAACAATTAGAACAAACACATTGCTTGAAAATACATCGTGTGACGAGACATCCCGGACAAACATCGTGACAAGTATTGTCGTTGTTGCAAGAACCTCCACGTTGTATTGTAATTACATCTTTCATTTCTCCACTACTAATCCTTGCTTCTCCCTCCATTAAACCTAATATATAATCACACAAAAACAAGAAGACATTATAAGATAATTATATACTTATAACATAAGAGTATTGCTTCTGAGAGATGGACTCACATGAGAGAGATAACAAGAAGGCAAGAAACAAAACTTTCATGAACACCATTTTCTTCAATTCTGATAGTATTGGTTCTCTCATTATACAGATGTGTATATATATACAAGTGTACGTGTAATAATAAGCTAATTTGTTACCAAAAACAATATTGATTCTCTTCCTTATACCACCATATAAATTTTATGTTTTTTTTATAAGATATTGCATAGTCAGGTTTAATGCATGAGATTTGGAAGATTTTTTTTCATATATATTTTTGACTTTCGAAAGAAAAGAAATCTCCGATTAACGTTTGAGAATATCAATTAAGATATTCCCATTAATCATGATTTTTCTAAGTAAATATGTATAATCTTGAAATTGATGTTTTAATTCGAATATATTTATTTATTCTTAAGATTCGGACAAAAAAAAACGATTTGGACAATTTTTTGTTTTTTTATTTTTTTACAACAAATCGAATAGATTGACTTTAGGACGATTTGGACAATTGTTATGTGTTCATTCAATATATTGGTTAGAGCAGGAAAAAAAAGAAACAATTACAAATAGGCTATGCAAAATTAGTATTGGGCTCATAGTGGAAATTTAAGGCCTAAAATTTGTAATGTTCTAGAAATAAAGTCTTGGCTCTTTTTCTTAACACTCAAAATTTCTGATTAGTAATGTATTTCAAAACTTGACTCTGTCACAAAATTCAAACTTATATTAAAAAAAAATATATTCAACCAGAAATCTACGGTAGACTCATTAATAAAATAATAACAAGCATAAAATAATATGTTATTGGTAATTTATCAATAAGAATAATGTCAATCAAAAAAGTTACAATAAAGTGTCAAAAATGAGGAAGACGATTAAATATTTCTCTGTCGTATTTTTATTATTATACAAACTATTAGTTGTCTTTGTAGGTTCGTTGATAATCTTGTATACTCGATTCATATTACTAAATTTTTATAGATATCGAAGAAAAAAAAATTAATGAATTTTTTTGGTTTTAGAAATATATTTTTAAAAAAATAATTGTCAATTTTTGTATTAAAGTTTATATACTACTAGTCGGTTGCCCGCGCTACGCGCGAAAGTTTATTATATTGTTTCTGAGTAATTGGTTCGTATTTTATTTCCTATTTATTTTTTTCACTATACCATACTTTACTTTTTAAAAACTTAAATTGTGTTTGTATAGAAAAACTATTGAGTTTTAGTTTCATAAGTCGTTGAGAAATTAAGTGTGTATATTATAAGTCGAAGTGTAAGCGTAAATAAAAGTGCGATTGAGAATCATTGAGAAACGTGTGCTATTAGGGGTTTTACCAAATATAGATCTAAATGTTAATATTTTGGGCTCTTTTATATGTTGGCATGAAATTTGAACATGATTTGTGGGTTTCGGGTGAATTGTTGTATTTTTAATTGTTTACATTATCTCTTTATATATTGTCATAATTTATTATTTTTTGTTTTACGGTTTCCTTTTTTGGATTTGTCGTACTTTATATCTCGTAATGATCATTTATATACTATTATATATTTTTCTGATTTTATGTTTTATATATTTTTTTGTTTTTCATATGGAACAATTTTTAAATTTAACATATTAGTATAATTTACTTTATATTTAGTTTATTTCATTTAGTAATGTTTTATTTTAATTTTCAATTTTATGAAATATAGTTAATTTTTTATTTTGTTTATTAGTTTAACATATGTGTTGTATTGGAAACAAATAGTTAAATTCATATTGGAAACTTTTAAAGAAATATTATTTTTATTTTTACCTTTTTATATGTTTATAAAAAATAAGAATTCATGCTTCGGTCCGACCTATCTCTCTTATGTTAGAAAAAATTTTGAGACATAAATTAGATAGATTTATATTCTCAAACTTTCTTACTTTTTGTTTTTTTCCCGTTAAATCCTATTATCTTTAGGTTTACATTGTGTAAATATAATAATATATATATTTTAAACATTCACTAAAAACTATAATCTATTATTTATATATTTGTTAGTATAATCGATAATTAGTAAGTTTTTTAACTCTTAATCAATTATCTTTTTTAGTTTTATAATGTATAATATAAAAAAGATCTTTCATATTCATTTTGAAAAAACTTATTTACACAGGTTTAAATATTAAAATTAAATGATAAAATGGTATAATTAATTTTAAAAATTAAATAATAAAATGAGGTGGATGATGATGTGGCTTAAGGAGATAAGAGAAAAAGTTAACTTTATATATATAGATTAAAATAAAATATTTAATAATGGAAAAATATGTACTATATTTTCCATTTATTTAGTTATCATCATTATTATTATTATTATTATTAGCCTTAGTTTCTTTATCATCTTCATCTCCATAAATCTAAGCTTTTTCATTCTCATCATCTTCAACATATCGACATTGGATAATACAACACCCAGCGAAGATGCAGCATTATCAAATATAATTCTGTAAGGTAATATAATAAAAAAATCACAAACAAAGACATCAATGCAAACAAAAGACAAAGACTGTACAAATCATGACGATAAACATGCTTAGTGAAGACAATTATGTTTAGCAAATTCCTTGAGGCAAGCGAATACTGGACACCAAGCTCATGCAACAATAATTTCAATTCATGAACGTCAAGCTCTTTAAAAATGATCACAAACTTATCCAAATGTTATAGAAACCAACGGGATCCCAAAGAAGGAAGGTAGAAGGTCCGACAGTAAGTTGAGGGAGATCAACTAGATTAAAAACGCGTTATCCACGCAAGTCAAACTAGATGTAAGTAGAAGCAACAAAGACTCTTTGTAAAACTGAAAGGTAAAATATATTCAACTTAACAAGAAAATAATATGTAATCGGTATTTCATCAATAGAAAAAATTATAAATGTTAACAAAAAAAGTCACACAATAGATTGTCAAAAATGATAAAGACGAGTAAATATTTTCTTTATCGTATTTTTATCATAGAAACAATTAGTTTTATTTATAGGTTTGTTGATAATCTTGTATACTCTGATTCTTATTTATAAAGTGTTATAGATATTGAAAAAGGTATTAAGGATTTGTTTTGTTTTTGGAACAGTAATTATTTTTAAGAACAATTTTCAATTTCTTTATAAAACTTTATATACTATTAAAATCAAAACTTAATAATGGAAAATATGTACTTTATTTTTAGGAAATTTAAAGTTTCTACCACAATTCATCTTTTTCTTATGTAAACTACCACATTTTCATCATCTTTTCCCACATACCACATTTGCTAAAGAAAAAGACAATTTTGCCCTATGTCTCTAGTATTCAGATTTTTATTTTATTTCCCACATTTTTATTGTTCTTTTGTATTTCATTCCATCCTTATGAGTTATGTCTAACAAAACCGACAAAGAATTTTGGTTCGGTTAATAATGATTTCATCGTCAACACTATTTATCGCGACAACACTATTCATTCGTCGTGATGATTAGATTCTTTTAAACATATTGTCCCCGAGATTATTGTGTCCACGAAATAGAAATCTATTTATTTTCATTTTTCTCATGTTATCTATTTTAGTGGACAAATTTAGACATCTCAATTATAATTACGTTAAAATTATTGTCCATAAATATATATATATAATATAGTTTTTACTTTATGTTGTGTGTATCTATAACCTCTATACTTTGTCTATTCCACAATTATATTTTATTATTAAATTTGATGGACAATTTTAGAATTTTAAAAATATTACCATATAATTATTGTCTACGACAAAGGATAAGATGGTCTTACCAATCCACTGCTTCTGACGTATGTGGGGAAAGATTTTTGAATTGTGCTAGTTTTCATAAAGGACCCACCATCCTGTGGTAGAACTAACAAAATTCCCCTTTATTTTTCATTTGTTTAGTTATCATTATTATTTATTATTATTATTAATATCAATGAAAATACAAAAACAAAATGGAAAACCAAATCCTCTAGAATGTTCTAAAATGACACGTGTCATATTTTATTAATAATATAAATAAGGCATTCGAATGAGAGGTTTGTTTATAATATATACTAGCAGTTGATCCGCGCTCCGCGCGGGAGGTTTATAATTTTGTTTTGTTGATTTTTTATTCATATTGTGATATTTTAATATTTTTTTAATTGATTTTCAAAAAATATTATAATTATTTTCTCTTTTATTATTATCTTTCAATACTCAAATTTGGATTAAAAGCATTTGATTCAATTTATGAAATATCCTTTTTTCTTTTTGATCATGTTATAAACTAATATTTAACTTTCATTTTATTTTTCCTCTTTATAATTTTATATATACAATTACATAAATGTTGTTTTAGTCTATCAAAAATTTAAACTTTTCTTCCATTCTAAAACTCAGTAACATATTTAAAAATTAAATTATGATCAATTTAAAATGAAAGTTGAATTATATTATTACCACCAATAAAAAATTAAAGTATTATTTTTCTTATTTTAACATTTCATTTTTTTATATAATTTATTTTTATTTATATAAACTTTTTAATAATTAAATAAGTAACATAAATATGCAATAAATGAAGATTTTAAATTTATTTTAATGTTTAAATAAAAATACAGCTTATATGGATGTTTAGCTGACATAGAAAATAGAAAAAGTTAATTTTATATATATAGATTCCTCGTTCGCTTTTCTCATATTCATCTTTCTCAAACCCTAAATCGCTCTTCAAAAACTCTTCACGATTCTCTCTGTCAAGGTACTCGAAACTTCTAGATCCTACGATTCTGATTCCTTGTGGTTAGTTTTGATGTTTTGGTGATTGATCCGAAAACTATCTGTTCTTTTCGTTAATCCAGCTTCGTCGTTTCTCAGATCTGTGTGTTGTTGAAACATTCGGTGAAATTTTGAAGTGTTATCGCTTAGATATGTTCAATTTCGTTGTTTGATTGTGAAATTAGGTTTTATTTGTTGTGGCCTCTTGATTGATCTCGCGTTTTACCAGTTTAGATTCTGTTATAAAGTTAGGGTTTTTGTTTTGTGGACGATCATCAATTCAGATTTTGTGTATGTGCGATTGGATTGATTCAATGGGTGTGTAAATTTGTGTTTCATCAATTGAGTTTGTTTGCTGATCGATTTTGACTTGGCTCTGTTTTGATTTTTGCAGATGCAAATTTTCGTGAAAACACTTACTGGCAAGACCATTACTCTTGAGGTAGAGAGCTCTGACACTATCGACAATGTTAAGGCAAAGATTCAGGACAAGGAAGGGATCCCTCCGGATCAGCAAAGATTGATCTTTGCCGGTAAACAGCTTGAGGATGGACGTACCTTGGCGGATTACAATATACAGAAGGAATCAACTCTCCACTTGGTTCTCAGGTTAAGAGGTGGTATGCAGATCTTTGTGAAGACGTTGACAGGAAAAACCATTACTTTGGAGGTTGAGAGCTCTGATACTATTGACAATGTTAAAGCTAAGATTCAGGACAAGGAAGGGATTCCTCCGGATCAGCAGAGGCTTATCTTTGCTGGTAAGCAGTTAGAGGATGGTCGCACACTTGCTGATTACAACATCCAAAAGGAGTCTACTCTCCATCTTGTGCTTCGTCTCAGAGGTGGTATGCAGATTTTTGTGAAGACCCTTACCGGAAAGACCATAACTTTGGAGGTTGAGAGCTCAGACACAATTGATAACGTCAAGGCTAAGATTCAGGACAAGGAAGGAATCCCACCAGACCAACAGAGACTCATCTTTGCTGGGAAACAGCTTGAAGATGGTCGCACCCTTGCTGATTACAACATCCAAAAGGAGTCTACTCTCCATCTTGTACTTCGTCTCAGAGGTGGTATGCAGATTTTTGTGAAGACCCTCACAGGAAAGACCATAACTTTGGAGGTTGAGAGTTCAGACACAATCGATAATGTCAAAGCTAAGATTCAGGATAAGGAGGGGATCCCACCAGACCAGCAGAGACTCATCTTTGCTGGAAAACAGCTTGAGGATGGTCGCACACTTGCGGATTACAACATCCAAAAAGAATCTACTCTTCACCTTGTGTTGCGTCTTCGTGGTGGTATGCAAATCTTTGTGAAAACATTGACAGGTAAGACTATTACCTTGGAGGTTGAGAGCTCAGACACAATTGATAACGTCAAGGCTAAGATTCAGGACAAAGAGGGGATCCCACCAGACCAGCAGAGACTCATCTTTGCTGGGAAACAGCTTGAGGATGGTCGGACTTTGGCTGATTATAACATCCAAAAGGAATCAACTCTCCACTTGGTTCTTCGTCTTCGTGGTGGTGGAAGCTTCTGAGCTTTATCATCTGTGGTCAAAACTGTTGTTTGATTGTGTCTTGTGTACTTGTGTGGAGTGTGGTGATATAAACTTTCTCTATCGTTTGTTAGCTTTCTCAATTTATTTTCTTTTTGTGGTAAGACCTCTAAATTTAATATCCAATGTTATTTGATTGGACAGAAAATATATGATTTATTAAATTTTGGTTTATTAATATATTAAGTTTATAAAATTGTCGAATCGAATAAATTACTTAATCGGATTGACGAAATCACTAAACCGAAGTTGATGGAATCACTAAACCGAGGTTGACGAAATCACTAATCCCTAAACACACGGGTAATTTAGGGTATCCAAAAACTGCATTTTCCTTTACTATTACCTCAAATCGAATTGGAATCGATAAACCCTAAGTTTAGTGTAATTCCATTAACCCCGGTTTAGTGATTCCGTCAATTCGATTATCATTTACTAAGCGGTTTCTTCGATTCAAATTTTTTTATATACTTGATGTATTAAACTTTCAAATTAAAATTAGATGGGGAATTTTTATGGAATTTTCCCTTTTTATTATTGTCCAAATGCTTGGAATTATGCATCCTTTCTTTTTTTGGTAGAGGACAGCTCTATTATGCATCCCTAGTCAATCGGTCCGGTCCAATGCAAAACTTCCCTTTTGGTCCGAAAAATATTCGAGCCTATATTTCAAAACTAATCTAGCCTTAGTCGTGTTATAGGATTTTTTAGGCTTTTTAGATTTTATTTACTGATAAAATTAAATTTTCAAGTTTATAATAATTCTTAAAACAATATCGAAAATTACACTATAAAAAGAATGCATCAAATTTTAAATGACTTAAACAATATTCATTAAAACCAATTTAATTTAAAAGGAAAAAAAAATCAGATAATTTGTTTATACTTTAACCCAATAAAATAATAAAATTAAAATACTTTAAAATAGATTAGAGGTTGCTGGCGACGTGTTTTCTTGTAGTTTACGTATAACTAGCAATTCCAACTAAACCAAACCATAATCAATAAACCAGCAAAAGAAATTAAATTAATAATTCAGAAAACCAAATACATTAACCATTTATCTAGCAAACATTCCAGAATTAGCAATTTCCTAAACAATTCCTAACATTTTTCAGAACAATCAACGAGCCCCTAGATCATTATTCTCTCATTGCCATGATTCCACGATTACACATTTCCCTTACCATCATTACGAAAAGAGATAGCATAATTATTTTCATAAATACTTAGTGATGCACTCATCCTGACAACTAGGCTCTACACACAAGTAGTATCAATCATCATCAAGGAAAATGATTCAAACAAACAATAAACAACAAGTAACACCACTGGTGACAATTAGTGTCGATCGACACACTTGGTCGACACCGAGCTCGACACTCCGTTTGCGAGTCGCAACTATCCTCGCGGAACAAAACATTGGTGTCGAGCGACACCCACCACTGGTGTCGATCGACACCGACGCTCTGCAAACGCTCCAGTTGCATTTTCTCATTGGATCTCCACTTCTAATCACTCCCAAGCCACGAGCGAATCTCCAAGGGTTTCACATGGATCATATCACACAAAAACAACCAAGCAAGCAAAGAAATCAATCAAACAATCATCAAAACATCTATAATAATGATCAAAATACTTAGAGCATCTCTAACGGTGAGAGATTATTTAAAGTTTCTTTATGAATATTTTTAATATACTTAAATTATATAACTAAAAAGTAAAAAAATAAACCAATGATAAAATGACATCTCATAAAAGGAGTTCTCTAAAATTGCAAATGGGTTTCTCAAGCTCTCTTTACAGAACTAGTTCTCATTGTGTCACTTCCTTTTTTTGTTTTTTTAAAGTAAATAATAATGAGAACTCTATCTTCAGAACTCCCGATGGAGAAGGTCTTAGATAAGCCTTGGTTATGCACCGACCTCTTTGCAATGGATGAACAAGCAAAGATCTGACTCTCCTACCACCACACAACACGGATCTCACTTCCTCTAGACTAGAAACACTAAGAACAGCCACCAAACACCACCAAAAAGCCTTATAGATTCCCTTAGGAAGTTTTAGAAACTTTGAGAACTTTTCTCACTCGCTGGAAATGTTTAAAGCGGCTGAATGAGAACAAAGTCGACCTTTTTCTATTTTAAGTTGCAATCAAGGGTTAAACCAACCTAACCCACATATATTTCACAATTAAAATCAAACCGGTCTAACCAAAAAATGTTGGTGTTGAGCGACACCCTTCCTTGGTGTCGATCGACACCACCCATTTTTAAACACGGGTGTTACAAGTAATTTTGGTCAATATTTTTTATTTTGGTCAAGCTATGATGACCTCTTACAAATTAACATAAGAAAATAGCACACTATTATAAATAGATTAATTAAACATCCTACTTTTTAAAGCTACATTAGCGCTCGCAAGAAAATAGAGACTATCATAATTAAACCATATGAAACATATACATGCTAAGCAAATCGTTCTCCATTAATCATGATAACCTAAATAATTCATATCACTTATACTATCTATAGCGAACAATAATAACGTTTTCCGAAGTAAAAGTAAAACTAAAATGTAAATTTTAAACGGGCAAAGATAAAAATTTGAAAAAAGTATATGTACTAGATCAAAAATAATTTACCTCAAGAAAGATGGTCGTTGTTGTGAGGACAAAAACTCTTGTGATAAAATTCATGTTATTAACCACCAAGTTAGATGGATCGTAATAACTTTGGCTAAAATTCCGATTATAATGGAGATTTGCCTCTTTGAGTGTGTATGTACTCACAAAGTTAAATTTAATGGCATATCCATCATACTTGAAATTTTCTAAAGAGGGTGCGTTCAAACTGATGACCCAAAGACCTCGTATAGAAGACAAAACCAGCGATTTGAATTTCTTGTGTTCCGGAGCATGGATGCTCAACATGTCATCCATCCAGCAATTGATTAGTTCCACTGATTCGAGGTGGATGCAGTTGGTGAAAACGGCGTTTATTGTCTCTTTCATCACCTTGATACGCATAAGTGAGAGTGTCCTCAAAAGCTTTAAACCTTTTGGTGAATTGTCTACCATTTCAAACTTACATGATCGCAGCTTCAAATGTTGAAGAGTCTCCACGGCCGAGAAATTGATCGGGATCTCCATAACTTTCTTGGATTTGGAGAAATCTAAGACAATCTCTTGGATGTTTTTCCCAAGGCATGTATTGATGCATGAGATTATTTTATCTTCTATCCCAAGATGATTGATAAGCAAAATGAATCTGTGAATATCTGATCCTTTATATTGATTAAAGACTTCTTCGATGATGCCAACAACCTCTAACTGACTCCTTCTTCTAGAATATATGCCACTGAAATCGAGGTTACGAGATCGTATATGTGTGTCCACAAATCTTTTGGATAGGATACGGTTTCGTAAAAGAGATTTGACTGGAAGAAACGTGGAGATGATGTGCTCCACCATATCATCAGGAATTGTTTGAGTAAGTTTCATCATCTTATTTGAGGATTCTCCCATTTTTCTTCTCTTGGGAAGAAATGCCATGGATTTTTTACTAGTATTAAGATATGATTTACACACACACACACACACACACACACACACGCACACACACACACACACACACACACACACACACACACACACATATATATATATATCTGATAATATGGGAACTTATGATTTGCTTTTTTTTTTAATGATTTGCTTTCCTTTTAGCTAGATTTAGTTTTTTTTTCTTTTTAGAAAAATATAATTTATTTTTACTATAAATTTAACTTTTATAAAAAAAAGTCTGGTTTATCTTTATAAAAAAGTTAAAAATACATTTACTTATGTTATTTAATTAGATATATTAGAAATCTTTTAGAGCCATTTCTTAATAAGAATTTTTTTTTCTAATTAATTTTTTGTATATTAGCTGTATAAAAAGTTTTCCATATAGATTATCATATAGAGTTGAACATATTTATTATTAACTTGATTTAAATAATTGTCAAAAATAAAAATAAGATTTTTGAGAAAAACTCAACAATATGTTTAATTATGTTAATTAAATATATATTATATATCTTATAGAGTCATTTATTACGAATAAAATTAAAATTTTATTTAATATGTATGTATGTTAGTTGTATAAAATATTTTCTATTTACATTATCATATAGAGTTAAACATATTTAATTATTTATTTCTAACTTTATTTTAATATGTTATAAATGATTTTGGAGAGCAAACTTAATAATATGTTTAGTTATGTTAACTAACTATATACGAAAATCATTTAGAATCATTTATCACCTAAAATTAATATTTTCTCAAGTATTAGCTGCACAACTTTTTTTTTTTTTGAATAATCAAAGAGGTTCTGGACCGAAGCCCATACATCCACTCAGGCCAGAAACCAAAGCATGTTATTAACTTTTGTTTACATATACATTATCATATAGAGTTGAACTCTTTTTAGTGCATGAGTAATGTATAGACATATGTTAGTCTAAAGACAATAATTCCAATAATCCCAGATAATTGCAAATCTTATATATCATGTAAACAATATATAGAGAAACTAAGGGAGTTCAAATTAGCTAGAGAAAAGAGCGTAAGAAAGAAGAAAAAACATCACATAGTTCTATATATTTAAAACATCAAAAGAGCAATGATAGTTTGGCATGGTGGGCATAACTTGATTTTAAACTTCGGTAACCTTAATCGCGGGGAATATCTTTTTGATGTCATTTATTCTTGTAGAATCTGGTGCACGAGCAATGTATTTGGCTTTTTTAGGCATCACCAACTTCAGTTTCACTAGAGATGGTGCGTTCTTGGCAAAGAACTCTAATATATCAAGCTCATGTGAGTGACCTTTATAGCCAATTATCTTGACTTTCTTTAGAAACTTCAATAAATAGCTGTTTTTCGAGTCATTCTGAATCTGATCTTTTTGATGAATCTCCCATAAAGGCAATTGAGGTTCGAAAGTGAAATTCTGAATCTGCATATATCAAACAAACCATATTGGTGGAGAGAGATAGAAATAGAAAGAGAGAGAGAGAGAGCAAGAGAGAGATGTACATCGATCACAACACGTTCGAGTTTAGGGCATTCTTTAAGGAATTCAGCGATGTCAAAAAGAGTGCAAAACGTTGGAGCTTTGAAGGAAATATGAAATTTTGTTAAGTTCTCAAACTTGAAAGGCCGCTTTTCTAGCTTTCCTCCTCCTACGTATTTATTCGTGAGAGCCTACAAAAAATATGTTAAAACACCATCAAAACTCACTCTAAACCACGAATAAATGATTTTGAAGAAAAGTAAAATGGAGAGAATCATATGTGGAAAAAAAAACAGTTCAAAATTCCAATCTAAATATGATGAACATTCTCTATCAATCAACCAAAGACATATGCAAAGCATACTCTAAAGTTCAACCACTTTAAGAATGATGCATGTGCACACAAAAAATGTTATCTAAATTTGAAGGAATAGATTTAGGGTAATTTCTGGATCACATACAAATTGGACTATTGTTAATTCATACGTATATTGAAGTAAATCTTATCTAAGAAATGAATTAAATTATTTGCTATGTAAGTCTACAAATCTTATCTAAAATCATTTGGTAAGTAGATAAAGAAAGTCAAATGCGTACAAATAAACATAAACATCCTACTTTTTAAAGCTGCATTAGCGCTCGCAAGAAAATAAAGACTATCATAATTAAACCATATGAAACATATACAGGCTAAGAAAATCATTCTCCATTAATCATGATAACCTAAATAATTCATGTCACCTATACTATCTCTAGCGAACAATAATATCGTTTTCCGAAGTAAAAGTAAAACTAAAATGTAAATTTTAAACGGGCAAAGATAAAAATTTGAAAAAAGTATATGTAATACATCAAAAATAATTTACCTCAAGAAAGATGGTCGTTGTTGTGAGGACAAAAACTCTTGTGATAAAATTCATGTTATTAACCACCAAATTAGATGGATCGTAATAACTTTGGCTAAAATTCCGATTATAATGGAGATTTACCTCTTTGAGTGTGTATGTACTCACAAAGTTAAATTTAATGGCATATCCATCATACTTGAAATTTTCTAAAGAGGGTGCGTTCAAACTGATGACCGAAAGACCTCGTATAGAAGACAATACCAGCGATTTGAATTTCTTGTGTTCCGGAGCATGGATGCTCAACATGTCATCCATCCAGCAATTGATTAGTTCCACTGATTCGAGGTGGATGCAGTTGGTGAAAACTGCGTCTATTGTCTCTTTCATCACCTTGACACGCATAAGTGAGAGTGTCCTCAAAAGCTTTAAACCTTTTGGAGAATCGTCTACCATTTCAAACTTACATGATCGCAGCTTCAAATGTTGAAGAGTCTCCACGGCCGAGAAATTGATCGGGATCTCCATAACTTTCTTAGATTTGGAGAAATCTAAGACAATCTCTTGGATGTTTTTCCCAAGGCATGTATTGATCCATGAGATTATTTTATCTTCAATCCCAAGATGATTGATAAGCAAAATGAATCTGTGAATATCTGATCCTTTATATTGATTAATGACTTCTTCGATGATGCCAACAGCCTCTAACTGACTTCTTCTTCTAAAATAGATGCCACTGAAATCGAGGTTACGAGATCGTATATTTGTGTTCACAAATCTTTTGGATAGGATACGGTTTCGTAAAAGAGATTTGACTGGAAGAAACATGGAGATGATGTGCTCCACGATATCATCAGGAATTTTTTGAGTAAGTTTCATCATCTTATTTGAGGATTCTCCCATTTTTCTTCTCTTGGGAAGAAATGCCATGGTTTTTTTACTAGTATTAAGATATGATTACACACACATACACATATATATATATATTATAATATGGAAACATATGATTTGCTTTTTTTTTATGATTTGCTTTCCTTTTAGTTAAATTTAGTTTCTTCTTTTTTAGAAGTATATAATTTATTTTTACTATAAATTTAAATTTTATACCAAAAAGTCTGGTCTATCTTTAGAAAAAAATTAACAATACATTTACATATGTCAATTAATTAGATATATTAGAAATCTTTTAGGGCCATTTCTTAATAAGAAATTTTTTTTTCTAATTAATTTTTTGTATATTAGCTGTATAAAAAAAGTTTTCCATATACATTATCATATAGAGTTGAACATATTTATTACTAACTTGATTTAAAGAAATGTCATAAATAAAAATAAGATTTTGGAGAGGAAAGTTAAAAATATTTTTAATTATGTCAATTAAATATATAAAAAATCTTATAGAGTCATTTATTACCAATAAAATTAACGTTTTCTTTAATATATATGTATATTAGTTGTATAAAATATTTTCTATATAAATCATTATATAGAGTTAAACATATTTAATTATTTATTACTAACTTGATTTTAATAGGTTAAATGATTTTGCGGAATAAACTTAACAATATATTTAGTTATGTTAATTAACTATATACGAAAAATCTTTTAGAGTCATTTATCACCTAAAATTAATATTTTTCTCTAGTACTAGCTTCTTTTTTTTTTTTCCTTCCAATGACTTTATTAAAATTAAGATTCACAATCGTTGTTTACAGCAGATAGTAAAAAAGCAGGACATGAATGATACAAAGTAAAGTGATAAATATTAGTGAGAGCTTGTTTTGCAAGTAGATCAGCACATGAGTTCTGTTGTCGATGACGAAAAGAAAAACGAATGTCGAGGAACATTGATTGCCACTGTTGTATTGTATTCAAGTAGTGACACAGCCGTGGAGTAGTTTCTCGACCTTGTAAGAGTTGAGTGATTGTTAAATTATCCCCTTCAAATTCAACTCGGCGATAACCATTAGCCCACGTTGCTTGGATCGCCCATAAGAGTGCTGTACATTCGGCCTCCTTAGGTGTAGCACGGCCTTGAAATCGTCCCATTCCACCATGTAAGAAAATACCGGTGGAATTCCTTATTATCCAACCTAGACCAGAATCTCTGTTTCCCTCGTAATTACACTTAAGCCATCCTCGCTCTGGTTTCTTCCATTTATCATGTCTTGTTTGTTGTTGACATTGCGGTTGTAGCCCTTGGTTATGACTATCCAGCACTGTTGGAGTCTTATTCAACCATTCTTCCGTGTCGGTGGTTGCGTGTTTAAAGATATCAGGGATTGCAAGCAGTTTATGGTTAAAAACCAAATCATTTCTGCTCTTCCAGATTCTCCAAAGTAGCCAAAAAGGAATATGCTGGTTTATCTTACTAAGTCGCGGATCTCGATAAATAGTGAAGAGATACCTCAATTTATCTTCAATGGAAGTGTTTGTATCTCCAAGTATATGAAGTTGGTAGCCGGCCATTCTCCATATCGATATAACATGAGGGCATGAGAAAAAAGCATTGTCAGTGGTCTCAACAGCGAAGCAGCAACGTGAGCATAGGGGATTCACATTGATATTCCGCCTTCTTAAGTTCTCTGAAACCCCTAAAGCTCTGGAGGAGAAACGCCAAAGGAAATGTTTCAACTTTGGTATGATATCCAATTTCCAAATTGCTGCAGCTATG